TATGAATCCTCTACACTGACGTAATTAGGAGAGACACACAAGATAAGTAAAATATGTATGTTCGATGGTAATACATGGTAAGGAGGAAAAATAAGGCAGGGATGGGAAGAGTGTAGATGTTGAGATTTTAGATGGGGTGGCCAAGGGGGGCCTCGTCTGGAAGGCGCATGAGGAGAGACCTGAAGAAAGTGACCTGAAATGGCGTGGCTGGGCGGCTCTCTGAGGGAAGACCACTCCTGGCCCAGGAATGGCAGGTGGGCATGCCTGAGTGTGATCGAGGGGCAGAGTGGAGGGAAGGAGTCAGAGATTAGGAGGCAGCTGACACACAGGACCTTATAGGTCACAGGAAGGACGGTAGATGGTAATGTAGAGAAAAATATAACTTTAACATGCGCAATTTGCTTCTGAACTAAAGCTTGCTAAAAACGAGAAAACATAACTAATGCCATTTTAAGTAAGGCAGCTTTTAATGGGTTATGTAGAGGCCAGGCATAGTCAAAGCAGGCCCAGGCACGCTAAATTCCAGGAAGGGAGTAACCACCACCCGGTTCCAGGAACTGACCGGTTCCTTATCTAGAGGCCACCTGGCCAGACCACAAGGAAGATAAATGATTGGGAAATACACTGTTCCTTATCAGGGTGCCAGCCTGCTAAAGCCCACCAGTAAATCTAAAGGTCACCTCAGATAACCTGTAAGCAGTATACAATTCATCCTGTTGCAAAAGTCTGTCAAAAAAACTGTATAAAAAGCTCCTGTGTTAAGGACTTGGGGCCACATCTGTCCTAGAGACTGAGCGACCCCAGCATGCTGGAATAAAACCTCTTGCTTGATTGCAGCGATCTCTGTCTCCTGGTCTTTGTGAGATGAGTCTTCCTAACAAGTAAGATTTGTACTTTGGCGCCAGTCTTACAGTAACAGTACCATTTTGGCGGCTATGCTGAGGACAGGCTGTAGGGGCGAGGCAGTAGCAGGGGGACCTGTTAGAGGAGGCCACTGTGATGGCTCACACAAAGGGCCAGCACTTCATCTGTTTTCTTGTCCATGGTGCCCCAGCCCATGGCATCCTTCTTGGCACAGAGCAGGCACTCAACAAATACTTGTTGAATAATGTGTAAATTAGTGATGCCCAAGTGCCAGTTCTCAGTCTTGTGCCAGGTAGGCTATATAAGGAGGGTGTAGTAAGACAGATCCTAGGCACTGCAGCTGGGGATCCTGATCTAATAGGTTACTGATGGGAAAGAGGAACCTGGGTTTTTAGCATGTAATTCTGGGCAGATGGGGCTGGCCATCTATGTCAGTTGGGAATGCTTTTTGTTACAAGTAACAGAGGCTGACCAACAATGGCTTAAACAAGAGACATTTATTTTTGTTTACAGGAATTATGGAGAAGTATGGCTGCTGGCATTGGCTTAGCCAAATGATGACAGAGTTGATATCTCTGTAACTGTCTTGGCCTTTTCCTCGTGATAGCCAGATGGCTGCTGTGGCTCTAGCCATCACATCCTCAGTCAAGGCAGGAAGAAGTGAGGGGCAGGGAAGTGTTAAGCATGCCTGTCTCCTTTATCAGAAAAGCATAAGCTTTCCCAGAAGCTCCTGTTGACTTCCTTTGTAATTTCACTGGTCATACCTGGTCACATGGTCACCCCAAGCTGCAAAGGAGGCTGGAACAGTGAGCATCTGGATTTATAGCCATGACAGTGGGAGGTGGTTAGAGTGATAGAGTTGGGTCTGACCACTGGAGAGTGAACCATGGGTGTCTGCCACAGCTCCCCTGGTGCTTGAGGTCCCTTCTACTTCTGGGGCTTCATCTCCATGTCTCAATGCCTCTATGGAGCACCTCTGGGGACCACTGGGTGAAACCCCAAGCATTCCCTTGGATGGTTCTACTTCATCCAGGACACTGTCTTGCTTCTCTTCATATGTCAGAACAACACATTGACCCCTGAGGGCGACTTCTTTGGAGAAGTGGTGGTCTTTATCTAGGGGTTGTGCATCTTTAGCATACCCCTCACCTGGCAGACATTTCAAACAGCATTACCACATCATCACGAAGATGGTCACATTCAGGAGCCTTTTACAGCTCAACTTATACACACACACAGGCAGCATGTCTATATTTCCACCCCAACGCTGGCACACACACAGGAAAAGGACAATGTCATCAGTCACCCTCAAACCACCCAGTGAGGCGTAAGACCAGGACAATCCCTTTCCGCCTTTCGGTACCACCTTTGCTTCCAGTGGCAGCTCTTTCTGGCAGTTTTGGGGGAGTGAAAGGAGATGCTTTCCCAGCACTGCTCCGTCACCTTCAGAGATAGGTTTACAAAGCCAGAGGCAGGGATTTTATTCTTTGGGGGAAAAGAAACAGGCCTGGTTTATTCTCTAAATCTTTAAAAATAAGATAGGAGCAAAAGGTCAAAATATTGGGTCTTGCACAGGAAGGGAATTTGGGGGGAAAAAAATGGGTGGATTCACTGGAGCCGGCCCAGGTAGGGGCTGGGTCTCAAGAGACACAGGCTGGAAATGTGGACTCAAAGGGACATACAGGTGCAGTGGGCTCTTCAAACCGCTGTTTGTATTTCCAGAAGCTGACTGGAAATCATCGTATATTTGCTCTCCATAAGGCTGTAGAAAAAGGCAAACATTTTTTTTTTATTTTTTGGACTAGAATTACATCATAACAGTGTGGTCACACCAGTAAGAAATGCAGATTGGCAATTTATACATTTCTAGTACAAACAACAATCACATGACCAACACAATTTGCTAGGTCAAAGTCTCCCTGGGGGGTATCCCTAGGGTGGGCTGGGGTAGGCAATGAATGAAGAGTCCTGGGGGCTGCAGAGGTGGGGTGGGGCCAGGTGAGTTTGTGGGGTTGGGAACCCCCAGGGCAGAGGTCCGTGGGAGTTAGAGGGGGCAGTGATGGCTTCGGGAATGATATTTCCAATGTTCACCACCACACCAGCTGCTCACACCAGCAGCCTCAGCCACACCTGGGAGCTTGTTAGAAATGCAGATTCTCGACCCCACCCCAGATCTAATGAGTCAAAAGCTGTATTTTAACGTGACTTGTATGCACAGAAAAGTTTGTGAAGTGCTGTTCTAGACTTCTGGGAGCAGGAATATTGCAGCCCCGGCTAGGTGTGGTTTCAAGGACTGGACAGGGAGGGCTGTGGATAGGAGAAAATAAAAGCATGGGTGTGGGGGGGAAGCCTGGCAAGCCCTAAAAGCTGTCTGTGTTAGTCCCCTCCTGCCTGTGAAGGGCTGGGATTCGAGCCACAAGGTGCCGGGGACTTCCCTGCCCTTCTTCACTGCAGACAGCTGCCTGCGAGCCTTTCTCCCCTGGTGGCTTTTAAGGCAGGTGTCCTTGAAGCTAAGCTCTGCTTAGCTGCCCCACACCAGGCTGCAGGTAAAATCATTGGCAGGGGAGCTCTCTGAGACCTAGGAGCTGAGCCGCTCTAGAAGCAGGGCCCCATGGGTCCTCAGAGGATCCTAGTGGGACTGCCTGGCAGAATGGAGGGCTTGTCAGGCTAGAGGGCCACCTGTCTCTCCTTCCCAATTCTGCCAGAAAAATCTCCTCCGCAGGGCTGAGAATCCCCTCTGGCGGGGGGGGGGGGCCCTT